AGTCGCGGCGCGGGGGGGGGGGGGGGGGGGGGCGATAAGTGTATTTGTCCCTGGTTCCTCGTCATTTCTACATGATTTTTCTTTAAAAACGAATTTTTTAGTAAGTTGCAAAAAAACCACTAATGCCTACTGTATCCTATACTTCGACACTTCTTTTTAGATCACATTTTACAAAACAATGACGTACTGGAATAAGAAACGCAAGAGTTTTTCCTGAGCCAGTCATTGCTGCTCCAAGTATATCATGACCTTGTAATGAAACTCCAATTGCTTCACGTTGGATGTCAGTTGGATGTGTGAAACCAGCTTTTGCTAGACCTAAAAAATATTTAAATTGATTAAAAAGATTAAATAAATATATTTAATTATTAACCATCAAGAGTTTTTCGACTCAATGGAAAATCATTAAAAGTTTGAATAGATCCAGGATCAATCTAAATACATAATTATCAATGAAAAATAACATTTTTTTTTCACAATTATCTATAACATATACTTGATCATATTGTTGTGTAAGTTGTTGAATTTCTTTGTCGATTTTTTTCCATTCTGGAATACGTGTTGAATAATTTTTTATTTTTATTTTCTGATTTGCACGCATCTGAAAAACTAAATTAATAATAAAATCATTAACAAAAAATTCTCCTAAAACAAAAACAATAATATGAAAAGAGAAATTAATATATTAACAAAAACAAACAAAACAATTATAACCAAATAGTTATGGATGAAGAATTCAATTCAATAAAAGTGGAATTTTTTAAATAATCTTGACATTTAAATCGATCATTATCCGATAGAATTAACCAGGTTTTTATAAGATCAATTCCGCCTTGTTTTAATATTTGTTCAAAAGCTATTATTGAATCACCATCAATATTAATACAAATAAGATTTGTTTGATATTTAAGTAAATGTATTATTATTTCTTTAACTATAATTGATGAACGTTTTTGTGATGAATGAAGTGATATTGTTAAAGATGTAATATTAGAAAAAATACGAAGTATTTTTGGAATATCACGACGTATATCAACTGATGACCATGAATAATCAAGATTTATTTCAAGTTGATAGATACGGTTTTGAAGTATTTTACATAAATTTTGTTGAGGTATATGAATTATTTCAAGTAAATCATCAAAAAATACACTTAAACGATTAAGATTTGGTGTTACATATACAAGACGTTCGAAAAATTCTAAATCATGTTCAGGAAGTGCAAGTAATATTAAATAACGTACATAAGATAATATAGGTAATGTTGATTGATAAGAATAAGTTGATTGAATATCATTAATTGATATATCTAAATACAGCATTTATTAATTTTTGTTGAAATAGTTTAATTGAATTCTTATTCAGTTACGAAGTTTTTCTTAAGTAAGAGTTATATTATCATACGATGAAATACTGCGTGCATTTGTATTTTTTTATTATCATACGATGAAATACTGCGTGCAATTGTATTTTTTTATTATCACACATTTTAATTCTTAATTATTTAGTTCGGAATATTTAATGCTAACTGGTGATAAGCGGGACCAATAGTTTTTGAACTCCGGTAAGAAAAATTTTCGGCTCTTGTTTCGCGCTTAGTAATACATGTACTAGTAAAAGGTTCGATATTGTTTTCCACTAGTGTCAATGCGTTCGAGACATCTTGCATAACTTCTAATGTCTTCCGTCTTACTTGATGTATTCTGTACGTTTATGTGTTCAATAACTCTGTTGGTTAAGAAGAAAAGGATCCATTTTACTGTCAAAATTGTAACAGCAAATATTGGAGTGATCGTTACTTAATAATATTCGCGAAAATTTAAGAAAATATGGGTCGTGTGAATATGATGTTTGATGCAAATCTTATACAACCATGAAAGATATGACTAGAGATGAAAAAATGAACCGGAGCCGGGACCACTTTGCTTATATCTAATTCTAGTTATGCGAAACAGAATCATTTGAGTCATATCATCGATACTTCTAAACTGTGATTATATGAGTAATTGAAAGTTAATCTGCGATGTGGATAAAGTTTTATTTTTCAGTTATTATATATTCGCCGTATCAACAACTTTGGTTTGACAATATTTCAATTGTTTATTCCATATCAGATATTGCATTGACGACTAGTTTGAGGAAATTTAAGATTGGACAATAAGCATTTTTTTATAGAGTTGAAAAATGTGCATATGAATAATCGTAGAAGAATATGTTTTACATGAAAAAATATGTTCTGTTTTCATTTTCTTGTTCGTATGAAAATAAATCAACACTTCTTTATGTTTTGATTCCATAACAGATAACACTTTAAGGTTTACATCTTCGTAAGAACAATTTGACTATTCAGAAAAATCTACATATCCTACCAAAAACGATCCGAATGTTTACTAATTAGATTCGAACGATCGATTATTTTAGCTGAAAATTATGATGATTATTATATTTACTCTCATCATTTTGATCAGTAATATCTTCTTCTTCATCAGTTCCATAATTTTCCTCATCGTCATAAATATCATTTAAACAAATTGTATGAACATATGGACAATGTTTTAAAAATGGTATTATATTAATATCACTTGTTTCACTTAAATCTAATCGTTTAACTTTTGTAAATGATTTTAATTTATCTTTCGATAATAAATTCTCATTTGTACATTTATAAATATCAAAATTTGAAAATGGATATGGTACTGAATAGATATGAAAATAATCTGAATCTAAATTCTCTTCATCAATATGCCAATAACATTGTGTATACCATTTTTTTGTATCTAACCAAAATGGTGTATAAAATGTTGATAATGTTTGTTCTTCATATGTTGGTTGAAGAAAACGTGCAATAGAAAATTGAAATGAATCAAGTCGATGAACAAGTGTTTGTAAAATATTTCCATCGAAAAATAATCGACATTCAGTTGTTAAATTAAGTGATAAAGATTTTAAATTTGGAAAATATGTTAAAAGTTCAAATAGATTTTCAAATTTAATTGATAAATCATCAGAACGAAAATGAAATTCTTGAAGATTTAATAATGGTGGAAATGGTGTTATTTTATAATCATAAATTGATTTAGCATCACCAATATGTACATTTAAATATTCAAGATGTGATTGATAAATAAGAAGTAAATGTAAACTACTTAAAGATTGGAGAGGAATTGTTAATCGACGAAGAATACATAACTGATCAATGTTTATAATATTCAATGACTAAAATACAATTATAGAATATTATTTAAATTAAAGAAAAATATTATATAAAATCGTTCAAAGATTATATGATGATCTTTCTCATTAGAATATAATCATTGAGACAAACGACTGATAATAACACTTATACTATCGTTTAGTAGATGTGCGGTAGGATAAGGATAGAGTCTTTTTCGGGTACGAAAAAACTTATCGTGTACATCTCTAATGTGATACTATTTTGCTATTAAGCAACTTTAGAGCTTTCCAATTAGGATAGAATTAAAGAAGGATAGTATACTTTCCTATTTTATCTTGCATGATAGATTTTTAAACTTTTGCATTATTTTTCATAGAAACTATCTCGTTAGTGAAAACACGTAGATGAAATTTCTCTTATTGTAATATCTCATTTTGTACAGAATTGAAGCTGTTCTAACAAGAGAATATATAAAACTGTGAATCATCGATCACAACGATATTTTTTGTTCATAAGTAAGACTTGAAAAAACCTGAAAGGATTTTTTCCTGTAAACCTTCCTTATGGAGTTATGACCACTGTATCGGGTTTTTTACTTATGGCAATGTATCTCTTGATCTTTAGTATATTCTGAAAGCTTCAACCGAATCCAATGGTATTTTCTCAATATATTGAATACTAAAGAAAAATTATCTTTATGACTTTTTTGTGGCATATAATTGTTTTCTTGAATATTCAATATTTTGAGAAGGAACTATCCGTTGTGATTGAAACTTTCAGGATATACTCAAGACCAAGAGGCTTATTAATGGGCAAAATTTTAGGTGAAAAATTCGATAAAACGATTATCACTCCATAAGAAACATATCTATGAGAAGAAATCCTTTCAGGTTTTTTCTAGTTCTACTGACGTTGAGTGGTTACGAATTATTCAATCACTTTTGCGTTGAGATTATGTACATTATGTAGATCCAAATGACCTATAAATACCCTGAAAATTGCTCGCGCTCGTTTTTAAATGAATGTCGTGATAGCAGGAAAACTGACTTTCGACTTGAAACTTTACATAGAAACAGATCTTAACAAAAATGGGTTTTTGTGAAAGTATCAAGTCTCTTAATTTATTTCTAACTTGACATAAGAGTATCAAATCTGCAGATAGAAATAGCAACAAGATCTGAAACATTCACAGATAAAACTATTCTCGTTAAGACTTGTTTCTATGTAAAATTTCAAGACGAAAATCAGTTTTTCTGTTACCATGGTATATATGTTACGAAATCCTGTAAAAGTGCAATATCTTCGTAGCAATGAGTTAAGGACACGAACTATTTTCAGGATATTTATAGCTCATTATGATCTACATAATACACACAGCCTCAAAGCAAAAGCAATTGAATAGTTGGTGATCTTTTCTTATGAATAAAATATAACTTCGATTAGTAGTTAATAATTTGATATGTTCCCTCATTAGACACAAATTAAGGACTGCATTAAAACTGTTATTTTGCTTTATACAGACACAATTTTGAACTTTTCTGCAAAATTTATTGATAGCTATTCAATCTTATTCCTGCAAAGAATCTAAACATATATTTGGAACTAACATATAATTCTGATTTGAACTCTAACTAATCATCTTTTAATGACTGAAGAATGAGTGGATATTGTAGTGTGAAGACTTTCGCACCATAAGCTATTTACATCTTACGGATACGAAATAGCATTAAAAACTTACATCTGAATCATTACTATTTGATAATGATAAAAAAGATAAATGGCTTAAATCGAATACAATATCTCCACGTAATTCAATTGATTTTAATGTTGGATGATGAAAAAAAAGCATTTGTGCCATTTTAAAACCATATAATTCTTGTTGTTTAGCAAAATCTATATCTGAACATTCAATAATTAATTCTTCAATTATTGTTTTATTCATTAATCGATTAATAAAATTATAAATTTCATTTGTATTTAAATGAAATAAAGATAATTTTTTTAAATTTAATGGTAAAATATTATCTGTATTATCTAAAAATAATTTTGTTAAACATGGTACTTGACAATTACTAATCTTTAATGATTGTATTAATGACCATATTGATGGAAGAATAATACGAAGTAGATGAAGATAATTTTCATAGGAAATTATTGATGATAAATGAACATGATAAATAAAATCACTTATTGTTTGATTTAATCTATAATTAAGTCCACCAAATGATAAAAGAATATCAATTGGATGTAAATAACGACATATTTCAAGAATTATTTCATCTGGAAAACTTCTTTCAAACGACATCTAAAAAAAAATATTATTTGTTTAAAGAAAAAAAAAAAAAAATCATGTCTTTTATTTTTTTAAAAACAAAAGTTAATTTGATCATCAGTTAGTTTAACATCAACTTTTTCAAGTTCATGTAAATGTAAATAACCAATAAGCCATGACATAAAATCGTTTAGAATACCAACTCCATACATATGTGCTTCAACAAATAAATTCATTGTTTTTAATATTGGAGCCATTTTTTGAAGAATAAGTATCATCAATGTATATAAATCCTTTGGATTAACAAGAGATAATGATAATGATGCAAGATGAGAAAATACTAATGGTAAACGTTCAAACAAAACGAAATTATTTACATCATTTATTGATCTAAACAATAAATTTTAGATTTTAATCTTGTTAATCAAATTAATTCTATGTCAGATTTAAATAAAATACGAGCTATACATTCAAAATATATTGTTATATTTTACTAATTTCTAGAAATATTTTATAAAAGACTTGTGCCAGCTTAGAAAACGTTTCAAACTATCAACTATTTCAGGCGAAAGTTGATAAGATTTTTCAGTCAAAGCTGTTTTCTGATCACTTCTCGTGTAACTAACTATCACGATAAAAGAAAAAAAACTATTTTCAGAAGAGAAATTAAATATGTATAGTTTTACTCTAATATACGATTGTAATCATTATAACGATGGAATCAACGTAGCTTGAAAATTTTGTATATCTCAATTTATAATAAATTCAACAAAAAAGTCTTGTCATAACTAAGAATAAACATACTTCTACTAATCAGGAAACAGAGCTCAAAAAGAAAATTATCGTGTCCATCTCTAATCATAGTCGTTTTTTTTTTTTGAAAACTTTGTAAATCAGAGATGAACGATGATCTAAAATGGTTGTGCTTATTTGACCTGAAATCAATAGATTGTAGATCTTTACTCACAAGGAAACGGGAACTAGAGGCAAGTCTCTGTGATAATAGCAAAAGTCTAAAAGAATTCGTTCCGGTTGACATTTGGCTCTGAGTTATGACCATTTTACTGCATGTTTGACTCATCTGCAGATACTTCCAGAAGATCGAATAGCGGAGTTTTCACCCAAAAATGACTGTTAGAATATTCCTTCGTCGAGTTATTGAATTTTCAAGTGAACCTATTCCCACTAAGACGGTTCTGTAAGCCTAACATGAGCTCATACGGCAGATGCCACTTGGAGTAGTTCCCTCGTAAGAATGTTCGATTATTGTTTATTCAATTTGAACATTAATTATTCAAGGTTGTTCGACCATGAGTTTTTTATTTTTCTATGATGGGTTCAAATGCGCATCTCATGTCATTAAACTATCGAAGTTTATAAAGTAGAAAATAATTTTTTACGTTATTTTTAAATGTTTAATTAATCTTGTTAATTGTTGACAAATATGTTGATCACTTAATGTTTTTGTCATTTGAATTAAATTCGAAAATGAAAGTGAAAGTGATTGGAGTTTTGTTGTATAATCAAGTAAAACAAGACTTGATGATGGAAAATTATTTCCAATAAATTCAATTGATTCTAAATTTGAAAATATAATTAAATGAGATATATCAACAAATAACAATCGTGGTTGTCTTTCATCATGACGAAATCTTGAAATAAGTTTTAAATTTTTAACATTAAAAAAACATGATTTAGGTAATTTTAAATTTTCATTAGAATTTGCTAAAAACAATGAAAGTTCATTAACATTTTCAAATATATTTATATCATTAATAGTTTTTTCAATATATGTATCATAAAGATTAGCATGAATTTTATTATTAAGTAATGGTAATGAAAATAAATCAATAGTTGGCGATAATGAATGATGTAAAAATGCAAAATACCAATTATGTGATAAAAAATATCGTGTTTCAAATGTTTTAAGTAATTGAGTACGTAGTGTTGGTGTTGATGCATCTTCTTCAGGGAATGTTGTATGGAGTGTAAATTTTATTAAACAAGGAAAATATGTCGATAAAAGTCTTTCCCATTGTCTACCTATAATAATAATAAATTTAATAAGAAATAAATTATCAATAATATTTTCTTACCATCAGCATAATCAACGCCTATTGCATTGATTTGTAATCGTTTTAAATATGGCAATGAAATTAAGATTAATTGTTCAATTCGATCAAATGGTATTCGACATTGTTTAATAATAAGTGATTCAAGATGATGTTTATTTTCTGTTTTTGGAAGTAATTTTTTTGAATTATATTCATCATTAAATGTAATCGTTAAATGACGAAGTTGAGGTGTATATATATGAAGAAAAGATAATAAATCATTAATATGATATTGATTTATTGTTAAATATTTCAAATTTGAATAACATTGATCACCTTCAATAATAATTCGTTTATTAAAATTAAGAATACATTTTTCAATTGATGACATTGATTCTTGAAAATAAAGTTCAGTAGTACTTAATTCAGTTGATATTTGTAAATTTAAATAAATAAGATTTGTAAATTTATTTAAATATGGTATTATATATTGTAGAGTTGATTTTTTTATATTTGTTATTGTTAAATATTCAAGTGAAATAAAATTTGATAAATGTATATGATGAATTAAACGATCGAATACATCTTCACAACGTAATGATATAATACATTGAGATGCAATAGGAAATAAAAAATAATTATAATAATCAAATACTTGTTTAGATATATTTAATAAATCAATACGAAGACGAATTGAAAGAAGTAATCGATTATATCGTTGATTAAGATAAAAAAATGTTTCGAAAATATTTACAGTTGGTAGATATTCAAATATTTCAAGTAATATTTCATTGGGAAGAATATCAAATTTTGATATATGTTTTTGATTGGAAAACATTCTATAAATTTATTCTTCTTTTTAATCTAAAAATAAAATTGAACTATTTTATCAATTATCAGTAGATCATATGAAATATTTTTCTTAGTTGAAAAATTAGTTTTAAGCCATTCAGAAAATTGATTATCAAAACCATCTAAATCTCTTACAATCAATGTTAGTGTTTGTAATTCAGAAAATGATGATAACGATGTATGAACAAGTTCTAATATCAATTCGTTCGTTAATATTTGATTTGCTGTTAATAAATGTCGCATTCTTGTCGCTGGTGGAGATATTGATGAATATATAGTAAAGATTAATGTTAAACTTTTTAAATAATATATTGATTGTGTTTTTAAACATGTATATAATCGATAAGGTACAACTAAAGATTTAAGATTAGGTAAATTATTTAAAAGTAAATTAATTAATTGTATTGGATATTGTCGAGATTCTTCTGGACAATTGAATAATGTTATACTTGATAGATTGACCATATTTTTTAAATTTTTAAAATATTCTACTGACTGAAATTCTCGACGATCATTTATTAAATTAGAATATAAAATAAATTGTTCAACATTTGGAAAATATCGATGTTCATTATAATCATATAATAATGAAGCAAGATCATTATGTAGTGCTAAACTTAATTTACTAACACAACGATAAGCTGATTTAATTGTTAATGGTGATGATGTACAGCGGCGAATATCATAAAGTGTTGTTTGAAAATTTTCTATTGGATATGGTACTGTATGTAAAACAAGTTTAAGACGATCATGTTCATTTACATTAATTAAAACACTCCAATGATGATCAAGAAAATATTTTGATTGATTAAATGATTTAACAATATTATCAAGATCTAGATTACTTGCAGTTACATAATTATGAGGAATTTGATCAAGAGAAATAATTAAACGAAAATGTTTTAAATGAGAAAATTTTGTTGAGAGAACTGTTTCCCATGCATCACCATTTGCATATTCAATGGACCATGTTGAAAGTGATAATTCACGAAGATTACATGGTAAACGAAGAAATAATATTTTTGTAGCGATTGCAAATGGAATTTCAGCAAGTTTAGCTCGAAAATAAATTAAATGAGGTACAAGAGTTGTAAAATCATCAACGGCATTAAAAGATGGAACAATCGTTCTAGAAGAAAAAGAAAATATTTATTTAAAATTTAACTACTACAGGCAATGTTTTATTCAGATTTTGTTTTCCGAAAGAACGACATAAGACTTTGGGAGGACCAATGCGGCGATATTCGAAGGGTTGCCGCCTTCTCGCCCATCACGCTAAATACAATACGTACTATAGTGAAAGTGATATATAGTCAATACGAGAAATCTATAATAATAAAACCAAAACTTTTAACTGAATATAAAATCATGAGAAATTCTTCTAGTAGCATTATGTAAAACAAAAATGAAACGCCTACTACTTTCTTAATCGTAATAACTTTTAAGAGAAAGAAAATCAAGCTGAAAATTATTTTTATTTCTTCAGTTCATTTACTTTAGCGAATAAATAATTCAAGTTTGTAGTACTGTTAAGCAAATTGCTGCTATTTAAGTTAATGAAAATTATTTTTTTTTGTTCACTAAGAAAATAACGTTCTAAATAAATAATGTCTCAAGAAAAAGCTCACTCATCACTATTTAATCAACTATTTCGAGCAAATTTCAGTACCTAATAATGAACTTTTACATTTACTTTAAGATGTTAAGTTTGATTGGACAATCTGATTATGCAGACTATATTTCTTTTCTAAGTTCAACTTTTCCGTTAGGACTAATTTCATAAAAAATCGTGTATATAAATTCGTATGATTCATTTTGAGCGAAACGAGACATAATCATTTTTTATTTTTAACAAGGTTTATTTTCAATTTGCCTTTGTTGCCATAAGCGTTATAAATAGTCTAAATAGTAATTCGAGTAGAGAAAATAGTTTCCAACAAGAATAATTTTGTTTAGGTTACATAGAACGATAGAATAAACAATGTTCTACAAAATGAGATATCTCTGAGTTATTTTGAGATTTTTTTTGATTGAGATACAGCATTTTGATTGAGAGTTAAAAAAAATGTTTGTCCTAAAGGAAATACTGAAAAAAAACAACTTTAAGAGCTTCCGTACGATGGTTGCATTTCAGCTAAAAAATGTTGCAGTGAGCTCAAAAACGTATCACTTAGTAGAGAATTGCTTACTGTATTGTTCTATGTAGTTCAAACAAAATTATATTCAAGCACTCCAGGTATAGAAAAACTAGGCTTTTTGTTTTCTAAAGCTCCAATCTTTGGAATGTGATATTAATTATTTTCTCCTTATATGTTTCTTAGAAATTATTTTCTTTACCCGAATCACTATTTAGCTTCTTTCTAACACTTATTTACAGCACAAAAATAATTGAAAATAAACTTTGTTGAATAATGTTGATATCCACTGCATGTAAAAATGTTGAATAACTCAGTTGACTATTAACTGAAAATTCATTAGCGAATATATGTCTAAACGTATAGGAAAAATATCCAAAATCTTCAGGATAGACTTTACGATATGAACCACAACGATGGTGAAGCTTTTATCAAGATCAGTCTCCAAAAAACAACTTCTTCTTAAGAACGCCTTTTTATAGATTCTATCCAGTTTTGAAACAACACCATTTGTCTTACCATCGTCTAGAGACTCTGACAAAAGATTTGTATCATTTGGAATGAGTTTTGAACTTCTCTTTCAGCAAAGAAATATACGCTTCCTTCTCATGATTTTCGGTTTACTAATAGTATCTTACGTCTTTTTCTTTTTGGTATTGATTTAGCTTATTCGTTTGTGTTGATGCTTTTTCTTTCTATTGCTCTAAATTTATTGACCAATTTTTATAGATTCGTATTAGTTCAAGGAAGTGATCTCTCGTAGAAAACATTTCGACGTCAAATCAATAGAGTAATTCAAATCTACAGCGCAGAAGTTATTTCATATACGTAAAAATCATGTTTGAAATTCAAATTAAGTCAAGAAACTAAAATTATAGTTCTTCTAACATTACCCTTTTGTATTTGAATCAAATAAGCGAACAGTTAAACGTTTAATATTAGGTATAAAATGAAGTAATCGAATAAAATCGCTAAAACGACACCATTGATCAACAACTAATGTTTTTAAAGATAATGTTTTATTTTTTGTATCTAAATGATCAAAACTCAAACGACTATAATCTTGAAAACCTAAATAACAATATGTTAATGAAGGCATTTGTTGACTAAAAATAACATTAGTTAATGAATTAACATCTTGATTTTTTAATCGAAATTCTGTATATAAACGCAAATAATTTAAATGCTTTAATTCTAATAAGATACTATTAGCTAATAAGTCAATATTTTCTGTATGTAAATGATGAATTGTTAATGACCGTAAATGTCGACATTTATTTATAGAATAAACACGATTAGTTATATCATCAATATATAATGATTCTATCGAATTATATACAATATTCGGAAGAATAATATTAAAATAATAATTAAATTGATTTTCATTTGTATAGAAAATATTAAAACGATAATGTATCAGACGAAGAATTGTATTAAAACGTTGATTAAGATTAAAAAATTTACGAAATAAATCTATTGGTGGTATATATTCTAAAATGAGCCATAAAAGCTCATTTGGTAATTGTTCCAATCGACTTTTCATGAGAATAAGTATCTAAAAACTTATAATCAAATTTAAAATATAATGTCTTTGAAAGTTTTGCAATTGAAAAATCGTTCTATATAGTAAAAACTAATTCTAATTCTACGATTAAAGATCAATAGAAACCTTCAGATGAGTCAAATATACTATTCACTGTATCAATTAGTTAATCAAAATTGTTGTCTTATTTTTCTTTTCTTTTTTCAACATTAAGCAAACTCAGAATTATTAAGTTATTAAATAAAAAACAAAAAATTAAAACAGAAAGCAAAAAAAAAATAATAAAATTATTATTTTTCTTGATTGAATATTTCGTTTGATTTAAGTAACCAAACGATAAGTTATATAACGACCAGCAGTTTCTGATGTTCGAGTAATTCGTACTACCTTTAATATCAAACAAATAATAAGATTAATTCATATAAATTTTAACTTACTTGACCACGAGTTAAACCAAAATAGCGAGCAACTGGATCACCGGATTGAATACGTGGTAATTGACTTTCTTTGAGTCGACTTTAATGAATAATATATAAACAAGAGAAAAATATACACATAAGTTTTTCTTCTTACTATCTTTGTAATAACTCTTGTTTTTCTTCTTGTGTTAATATAATATGTTGTGGAACAAGCTAAACAAGTTTACTTTCAATAAAACAAAACGGGTATTCATTGAGCAGATGTTCCTCATCGTAAAAAAAACGTGCTCCACTTTCTGATATTATCTAGTGTGGGAGTGGCGTCCTTCCGGACTTTTAAATCACCCCTTTAAAAAAGAAATTTTAAATAAAACATTGAAATAACTCATCTAATATCAGAAAATGAAACATCAACTTTAATGTTTTCACATATTTACTGTGATGTATCTGCTATACAAATACCAAGAAAAGAACAAATCTTTATAAAAATTCTTACATGATGTTCTGTTATATTAACTAATAATTCACTTTCAAGAAAAACTTGAAATTGAATTTTTTTATTTTCTAATTCATTAATAATAACCTAAAATTAAGAATTTTGTCTAAAAATGAGTATTTTAGTAAAAAAATTTTTACATCACGAGCCATTGGTGTTAAACCTTTTTGAACAATAAGTATTGTACTTGTTAAGTGTTCATCTTCCATTTTTTTACAATATTCTTTTATTTCTTTAACACCATTTTTTTCTTGATCAGAAAATCTTGCAATTAATGTATTTGTTGGATCATCATTATGTGCAACTACAACATTTAAATGTGATCGAGCTGGTTTATTTTCACTAAAAACATATTAATAAAAATTAATTTCTTATTAGATAAAATAAATTAAATTAACCTTGGCTTATCACCATATGTATCTTTAAATTGATCCAATGTTTGATCAAGTTCATCTTGACTTACAAGATAGCCACGATCATGACACATCTTTAAAAAAAAAAATAATCAAATCGTATAGAAAAATAAATTCATTTATTTTTACTTGTAAAACTGTTCTTCGAATACGCCATAAGTTATAAATTAAACTTTCATCATCCATTTTGTAATCTAAATATAGTAAAATATGTGATTTTCAATAAAATATTATTCAAAATGAATTACTAAATATTTTGTAAGTATTTTTATTCACTAGATAATCTTATATTTGATTGGTTGTATTTATTGACTAATGCAAAAATGAATTTTCAAGTAGCGACATTTTATAGGCTCTTTATTTAATGCTTGAAACTGATTTCGATTACACGTGATATGTATTACAGACGATTTTGTTGCTTTTCATCTGTGATTTTAGATGACAACTACTATGAAAAATTTTCCGTTATTAAATGAAATTGATGAACAAAGCGATTTAGATAATATTGATTGGAACATAAATGCTTTTCAAACATTACTCGTATGTTTTTTTATATTAAATAAATAATAAAAATTAAGTATTTTCTGTTGATTAGACGTCTAATTTACCGATGACAACAATATTTTATTATGCTATTGATGTTGGTTTTCGACGATTAGAAAGTAGTTTATATGAAACTTATTGGGATGTTACAGCTGATGCTTTGAATGAGTAATAAAGACTTTTTTTCCACCAATAAACAAATTAATGCATTTAATTTTGTTTTTAGTTTATCTGATTTTTTGTTTAATACACCATCTAGTTATGATATAGATCCATATTTAATTGAAGCAAAATGTCAATTATTAATGTATGCATCGATTGCAATTATTAAACTACATACACTCGTATGTATCGAATTATTTATTTTTTGTTTTTATTTTTTTTGAAACTTTTCTAGAGACGTCGATCAATAAATGAAGCTAAAATGTCCTGTGCAACAATATGTTTATTATTATTAGAACAAAGTAAATCCTACGAAACTCTATTAATCAAAAATCAATATTCATCTTGTATTCATTCAATGCGTCTACGATATTTAAAACGAATGTTTATTATTGGTTAAAAAAAATATTATTATTATTATATGTTTTCTTTAGAAATTGTTATTATATCGTTTTAGGACAATGGTTATCAACTTTATCAAAAGCACAATTAAATGATATCCAATCAAATCATGAACAATATGTAAATGAATTTTGTTTTGGACTGAAAATTTTTTAGTTTATAAAATTTTTAGGTTGAAACTATGATTGATCATTTATTTCGAGCTGTATCTTTAAGAGATAAAATTAATGGATTTATTGATAATTGTTTACTAAGTAATAGTAATAGTGGAAATGATTTTCCTGATAATGAAACAACATCAAGTGGTTTTGTATTTATTCGACGTTTTCCAAAATTTAATGGAAAAACTATTGAAAAACATAGTGATCTTATGCATATGGGACTTGTTAATACATTAAATCAATGTAAGAAATAACATTAAGTTTTTTTATATAGTTGAGCGTTTTATTTACAATAGTCGCTCTTAAATTTGAAGGCAAGGGTTTTCATAGAAGAGTGAATAGCTTCTAAAATCCCCATTACAACCAAACGGGATTGAATGTAAGTTCAATAACTCGACAAAAGTAATAACTATCGATTTACAAATTTCAGCAATCGAAAAAGGAGACTTTCGGATGTCTTTTTATTTTAAAATGCAACATTTTCAATAAACGAATGAAAATAGTATATTCTGTTTCGATGTAAGTGCATTAGCGAGAGAAACTTCGGACTTATAGTCCAAGGTATGATCCAGATGTTTATATTTTCCCATCTAAATTTTGAGCAAATAAAAGCGCGTATCTATCGGATCAAATTATATAGAATTTCGTTCATTTTTAACAAACTTTCTGCTTGTTATCGAAATTTTCTTGAAATGGAATACCATTTTTTATGGGATATTTTGCGAAGATCATAGTTTTTAAAATAAAATGATGTCTGGATTTCAATTGTTTCGATTATTGAAAACCGCAGGTTGCTAGTTACTGTTGTTGTTAAATTCACCCTGTTTAATGCTGGTACGGTCATTAATTAATTCGGCATTAACATAGCAGCAGATCATTTTTACTTAGTTTCAGTTCATAGTAAAATATTAGTTAATTAACAAACGAAAAACTGTTCTTTAAATTATAAAGTTTAACGATAAACCAAGTCTGATTTTCATTATGATAAATTTTAGAAAATGTTTGACGATATATAAAGCAAACAAGTGAATGTTTCTTGACGAGGCAATTCCCCTAACTGATAAATTGCTCTTGAATCGAAACTATATGCATTATGAAGAATGTTTCAGATCTTATCGCTGTTTCTGTCCGAAGCAGCCAACATTTGAAGGCTGTCGTAGTTTTTGAAATTTGTTTTTCTGGGTATGCCTGATTAATGTCGAAAAAAAAAATGTCGAAAGGAAAAATGTCGAAAGGAAAAATGTCGAAAAGTAAAAATGTCGAAAGGAAAAATGTCGAAAGGAAAAATGTCGAAAAGTAAAAATGTCGAAAGGAAAAATGTCGAAAAGGAAAAATGTCGAAAGGAAAAATGTCGAAAAGTTTGAAGACTGCAAAAGTAANACTGATAAAAGTTTCAGAAGAATCCGTTCATGCGCTTCACAGATATGACTCGAGAAAATGCGTAAGTGCAACGGCAATTTTTTTTGCACTCCACTGTATATATATATACAGTAAAATCTTTCTAATATGAGTACTATCCGAACTGACTCAAAAACAATCATAATAGGAGGTGTTCGCTGTCGAGAGGTCCATCTTTTAGTAAAAATCGATTTTTCTGACTCTTCAAAAACGCTCATAATAATAAGATTTTCACTATGGAGAGATGCTTACTATTAGTGGCGTTACTATAAATATATAGAACTCAACAGTTAATCGAAAGTGTTTTTTTTCGTAAAACTCAAGAAGTTCATATGCTTTGAAGTCGATGGAATCCTACTGCTTCTTCCTTAGTTATACTTGTGTTTCTTTTCCCCAGAAACAAAGCTGTTAGTGCAATCCCTGTGGGATTAAAATCTAAAACACAATGTAGCTATTGCTGTTAGTCACATGAAGATTGTTTTGTTTAATCTATTTTGAGACACATTACTTCATCATCGTTTGCTTAACACTCTTGAACTGCAATAATGAAGGAGTTGATATATTCCAATGGGATATTAGTTATATACTACCTGTGGATGGGGATGCAAGTTTCTACCTTACATACTTTAACTCTCCTTTTAGATCGTGTTTCATAAAAAGCGGAAACAATAGCTGTTGAAGAATGCGCTATTACAAATCAAAATTTAATAGATATTTTTTATTTTATTTTCTAGCTTACTATTCTCGATATGATAACAAAAGAAATCAAATCTATATTTTGTCATCCAGCTATATGTGAACGACTTGCTTCAATGCTTAATTATTTTTTACAACATCTAGTTTGTCATAATGATTTATTCCTTTTTTTTTTATAATAATTTTGTTTATATTATAGGTTGGACCTAAACGACGGAATTTAAAAGTACGTGATTTAAATGAATATTTATTTGATCCGCCAAAACTTGTGGCTAAAGTAACAGATATTTATTTAAATTTTTCTGAATATAATCAATTTTGTGCAGCTGTTTCAAATGATGGAATGTAAGAAAAGAAATATTATAAACAAAAATAAATGTTGTTTTATCGTAAAGGTCATACAATGAACAACTTTTTCCGCAAGCTGTCGAAGTACTTCAACGAATAAAATATCCGTCTGAAAGAATCGATGAATTTTTACAACTTGGTGAACATATTAAAGTAACATTCTATTCCTTTATTTTATTTTATGATTGATTTTCTTTTTCTTTCCAGAAAATTGCTGCTGAACAAAAAGAAGAAGATGCTGCATATGATGACGCACCTGATGAATATCTCGATCCGATTACGAGTATATTAATGAGTGATCCTGTTATGTTACCAAGTTCTCGAACAATACTTGATCGTACAACAATTGCACGACATCTTCTTAGGTTAGAAATGAAGATTTAATTTTCATTGAAAATTAACGGATGATCTATAAAGAATGGAATACTTTTTATGTCTCTGTTCTCAATAGTGCAGACATAGTTCAGAGATATCGTTCTATATTTTATTTAAAAAAACTTATTCACTATTGTTCTCTAGCATACGACAAACTCTTTTCAGTCCAAAAATCAATACTGTCTATTGGTCACTTTGTCCTAGACTGATCAATCGAGGCTATTAGGCAGCCATGGTGATATTGACCAGATATATGATGTTTGCATCATGTTTGGATATGATGATCAATGTGTGCCCGTGTCCCATAGACATCATGTAATTTGGTCATTTCCGATGTAATAACTACCGTCAGTATACTGGTAGTTTTTTTTTTGAAAGTGTTGTAGCAAAATGAGTGAATACTTTTGAAATTTGTTAAAACTGACAGAATGCAGTCGTTTTCGATTCATGTCAATGCTGTTGATGTGTCTGAACCGCCTTTACTATCTACTGAGACTAAATCGGTTCGAGCTATGAGGTAACTTTTTATTATAGATGGCACTGGAATACATTTTTATTAGTAAAATATATTTTGAAATTGTTTTGTTCTCGATTGATTTCAATTCTTTCTAATAAATAATTAGAATTCGGGTAGAAAGCACTTTCTGTCATCGGTTTTAGCTGAAACCAAAAGTGGTCAGCGCTACCGAAGGTTCTCATGAGTACTGCAGTATACTGACGATGGTACAAACAAATGTGCGATATGTGTTATCATGTCGATTTTTTTCTGTTTAATATGAAGAAGAAGGTGATTCATCCGATGAATCAATCATTTCGTTCGGTTTCGACTTATACTTATTTCGAAATGTATTGTACGTAAGTCTTTGAATATTTTGATCCATCTATAAACAATTTCACCAGCAAGTTTTTTCGAAATCTGTCAATCATTTAACCCTTTCAAATGTGTAATGTCAGCAATTTACAACTGACTTGATTATGTAAAGCAAAAGATTCTCTATTGAATGAGCCAAAAACGAAATCTCTGAACTATGTTTGCAGCATTCAAGAAAAGTGTTCCATCCTTTATGAGCCATTCATTGTATTTTTAAATTATTTAATATAGTGATCAAACTGATCCATTTAATCGAAATCCATTACGTATGCAAGATGTGATACCACAGAATGAATTAAAACAAACAATTGAACAATGGAAAGCTTCCCGACGTGAATAATCAGATTTCTTTCGTCTTCCGCATTTTTTGTAAACGAAACCAAAAAATAACATTTTAAAAATTTTATTGATTCAAGAAAAATATATTGTTTTGAATTATTTTTTTTAGATATTCTTTTTTCTTCTGCATCTGAGTTTATGTATTTATTATTTATTCGAGATCTTACTCGATGGATAAAGAGTTTTTTTAAAATACTTGGGTGTGTATTAAGAAGTCTATTGAGAGTGGCAAAAAAAAAAGAAACGAAATCAAAAAGATTTCTTTTGTAAATTTAATTATATGATTTAAATCGAACAAAATTCTAGAATTCTACCTCGTTATTCATCTTCACCCTCAAATCAATCAATGATTCGCGGCTTAACTCTTTCACCAACAATGAAAAATTTCATTCGTTGTGCTGGTTTATCAGGTACATTAGCTATATGTTTAGGCGTTTATGGAGCTCATATTATGAAAGAAAATACTACAGACGATCTTCGACGAGTATGTTTAATTTAAAAAAAATTATTATTTTTTGTTTTTGTTTTTGTTTGTAATCTAATCATTTATAGTTATTTCAATTGGCTCAAACATATCATTTACTTCATACAGTGGCTTTACTTGCTGTACCATTTGTCTCACGACCATCGATTACAGGATCTTTATTTATTGGTGGACTTTCACTTTTTTGTGGTCCTATATATTATCATGCAATACGCAACGATACTCGATTTCGTAGTGTAACACCATATGGCGGAGCTCTTCTTATAGCTGGATGGTTATCGATTGCTGTACTTTAGAAAAGAAAGATAGTTTATTGAAAAAATTATGTATGATGTTCAAAGATTATTATTCATAGAAATAAATTTTAAGATAGTTACTTATTTTTATATATGATTTTAATCAGAAATTGATGTAATAGACTTTTCTATTCAATATAGATCTAGTGAAAATGTACAGATTATTTAGTCTATATGAAGATGTTTGATAGTATATGAATAAGATTACATTTAATATACCCGAAATAGTTTAAAGAAATGCAAGCATAAATAAAACTCTAAATTAGTACTTGAAAGTATGTTATGATATATAATTGAATTGTATATTTTTTTTGCTGTAATTAATCGCATTGAAAATATTAACTAGAAGAATGCTTTTATATTATGATTGTCATTAAATGATAAAAGAATTATTATTTGTTAATATCTATCTTTGAATTCAGAAATTCTTTTTAAATGTTTGTGTTATTAGTACGATTAATTAATTATGTTTCATTTATATTACAACAGAAATGCAGAAAATAAAAAATCTATTTTTTTTATTATATTTGCTTAATAAACATCTCACATTGGTGGACACAGAAAATTCTTTTAAGTATTCACGTTCTCTTGGTGAACGGACAACTCGTCGCAGATGTTTTGTGTACCCTCACGTATCCATCATCGGTGCCACTTTTGGAAACTTTAAGACTAATATGCCCGATTGTTCTAAAAGTTTGTATGTGTCTAATAATGGTGCGAATATAAAGTATGCATTGTTGGCTACTATTAAATATATATTATATGATAACATCGATTCTGTAAATTTGTCAAGATTTGAAAAAAAAATATGTCAAATAAAATAAATTTTATTCTTGCTTGTTTCTTTCAAATATCTGAGATGTTGATTTCTATTGTTATTTTTTTCAATTAATTACCGTTTTACCTATGTTTATAAGTTGTTATTATTTAGAAAAGTTTGAGCAATCAATGATGTTTGTTGTATTCGACGAACATGCTATGAATTGCGATGAAGTAGTGCCGATTTAAACTTAATGTTATGGGTACATCAGTTTCATGCTCATACAATCATATTCAAGACCACGATATGAAGGCTTACTTCTAATAGATGTGTTAGTCCGTAATTTTTTAAAATGTAAATCGTCATACATATATTATATAATACAGTTTTCTATTAATATTATTCTCCCTTATTGTTATGACTACGGAAAATATATCTCGAATCATTCGGTTTGTATCCATAAAAAATGTTTCTCATAATCAGTTAATTAATTGTCACCGTCACACTGGAGACAGGAGGTGAAAAATTGAAAGTGTACTCTTCTAATGGTTTAAATAGGGTAATATATACTCTGATAGGTGGATTGTTTAATGATATAAAAGTCTTTGTTCCTCTTGTTAGCGTTAGTCAGAAAATATTCAGATTACCGTGTCGAAAAATGTCGCTAGTAAGAATTAGAAACCCTTTTACTGTAAACAAAAATCTTATCAGTACAGCTGCACAAGGGTCAAAGTGTGATCCTCACTAAAACTCTACCTGTTAGATATTTATTGTATACTGTTAGAGGAGTTAAACTAATTTATTTAAAAAAAAATGCTCAACAACTGAATAAGTCAAAATTATAAAAAATTTTATCGTTGATAAACGCGCTCTGAGATTGTATTATTTCGAAAATGTTTGTATTTAGAATTATTATTCTATCAATTTATTAGATTCATTTGACATTGTTATACTGAAAAAACTTATTTGTATTGTTAGGCTATATCTTCAACACAACTTCTTTTCTCCTAGTGATAATGTATGTGATAAATACCATATGAATCGACAAACACCATTGTATTCTTTGTTTCGTCGGTTCAATCATTACAGTAACCTTCTATACACATTTTTTTAACTGTTCAGTAAGCTTCCAAGTAGGCCATTCTTGCTCTCAACGAAATTTGCCATATAATATTGAGTTGTGCCTAAATGTAGAATTCAATTAGTTTTGATGTACTTTTCCATGTTCGGATGTGGGCTCTTAGAAAATATATGTGGGTGTAGACGTAGGCACAAGCGAGATCTCAATTCCAGCTATAGCCCACACGCACACTCTTAATCTTGATATTTCAATTTCATAACGGCATTATTAAATAGAATGAAATTGATTTTACCTATTTTCTTTATCGTTGTTTTTAGACTTCCTTAAACAAAACACTTCTTCTCTAAAGAACAAAGTGTTCTGCTTTTTTTCATCCTTTTTTGTTGACAAAAGAATGTTGTACAGCCAACCAACGAATTTAAAGTTAATAGCATTATTTATGCTTTGAAGTTCTATTCTCAAGAAAAAAACCATAGATATGTAATTTGTTTCATACTCTTGAGAATTTTATTATCTCAAAACAATATTTTATTAGACATCATGCAGTACATTTTGGAATAGTTACATTGTTATTGCGTCGTTAATACTATTCGTCCAAAAATGGAGTTTTATCCAATCAGTATCGGTAATAGATTGAATATCGTGATAACAATAATTTTATTTTCATTAAAGAATATCATATGTTCATAAGGTCAATTACGCAGGTTCATGAGAACAGTTCTGTAAAGAATAGAAAACCAATGTCATTACGTCGTTGTTTTCTATAAGTTCACAAAATGTACTGTTAGATTATGGCGAAATATAACGATAATCAATGCAGTAAAACGCCTTTTTTGCGCCTGTCGGAGGATCGCTTTGACTACGTCTTGTTTAAAATATGATTTTATTCATATACAGATTTCTTCATCAATTTCTATGAACAAAATGAATGAGTAACTGATATATGAAAGAACATTGTTTGACTTTTCATGCACACTTACAAATAGTTAAAATATTCGAATATCACAACTCTCATACGACGCAATTTTATTTCTTCTAGAATTTAAGTAGAATGATGATTTACAAGAACTGAAATGAAGTAGGAATAAAATTCTATAGTCACTTTTTAAATAATTTTAGAAAGTTGACCGTCTGCTAATGGAAGCTCATAAAAAGAATCTATTAATAATCGATCAAGCAATGTATTGAATGGATAATTAGAATATCAAGTTATTTGTTATTTAGGAGACAACAAAATTTATCGAACATGCTGCACACAATATAATGAGAGCTTTTTGAAAAAAAAACTTGTTTAAATATAATTATCGATAGTCAGAGTTTTTCGTTTACATGTTGAATGTTTTATATAACTATCAAAAATCTGCAAGTTGAATTGTTTCTATAATTAAGTCTAAAAACTACATGGATTTTCGAATGATTTCAATGTGTACATATGGAAAAGTTTGAGATTAAATGAATCTCATGGATTATCAGCAGAAGCATTTGTTCAGTACAGTGATGTCATCAATTTTCGAAACATAGTTTATTGAATGTTATAGCGAGAAACGTAGGTTACCAGTTCGAATAGATATATGTAGACTCTCACTCATTAAATTTACTTTCAATTTTCTTTTCCATTTCAAAGTCAACAACTTGTTTAAAAATGTAAGTGAATATGTATGTTCTCCATCCTTTTTCTATTCCAATGTTTACGTATTGAAAGCCATTTTATGGAAGAAATTGCTTCAAGCCCTGAAAGTTATTAACATAAGACTGTTCACAGAAGTTGTCAGAGTATGGCGTTATTTTCATCTGTCACCGTACTTAAAGGGCCTTGAAAATTTTCATTGAAAAGGAGAAATTGCTTCTGCTAAAACAATACTTCTATCTCGCATTTATTATTTGTCACTTTTCAGATAATAACATCTGAGTATTGTAAAACAATTTTAATCAGTATTTAGAAATTTTAGATGGCAATTAGTGAAACAACACCATCGTGGGTGAATCTTATTACAAATTGTAATAACGATAATATATTAAAATCACGCACTTGTAAAATTTATAATCGTCAAACACAAGTCTCTCCGAAGGATTCAAATAAAGTATGTCTTTGTGGTCGTTTAATTCGCCGCCATAGTTTTTACGATCAAAATCTACAACAAGACACAGGAAAACCTAATATTCCTAGGAATCATCTGACGCAATTTAAAAATGATGATTCCACTACAGTTCCCATTACGGTATATGGAAGACTAAAACCGAATGGTTGCAAATTTGTTCGAGTCGATTTTAAAACTCATATGAAACACATCTACAATTTGCTTGTTGATGATCATAGAGGCACAAATCATAAACCAAATTTAATATTAGGTGTCTATGGTGGTTTAAAATATTCCATTATGGCACAACGAATTGAGTTAGAAATTATAAGTGATATTGTCGAGGCTGCTATAACAGCTAGTAAATAAAACAATTAACCGCTATTGTTTATATTGATGATATTCTTTTAGATGGTTGGATTTTAACTGATGGTATCAATAGTGGTGTAACAAAATCAGTCGGTGAAGATCTATCTCTTCATCTTTCATTAACAGGATATCCAAATAAAGTTAAATGTATTGGATTAACAATGTGGGGAATAGTCAATGAAAGCACACGCTTTCAACTTAAATATGATACCAAGGTAGATATGTGGAGAATTAAAAAAAAATACTTATACACTTTTATTTGATAGGGCTATCCAAGAGACTTACTTTATCGACAAATTTCTGATAACGTTGAAGAAAATCAAGAAACGATTGAAAAAAATCATACACACTGTATTTTATTTGATGATGGAAGATTGAATACACATCTTGATGATTCACGTCGACACAATTTACTTACAATAGCATGTGAAGATAAAACCTATACATGTATATAATTTTTAAACATTCTGATTCTTAATTAATTATATTTCAAGGTTATGCTGTAACAATCATTTTTGGAGGAGATATAACTACACTTGAAATTCTTCAAAATGATATTCAAGCAAAACGACCAATTGTCCTGATTCAAGTGTGTAGTTCTCATTCAAATCGATAATGATGTATTATTTGAATATAGGAGAGTGGTGGTTTAGCTGATGTACTTGTGTCATTGATCGAAACGACTTCCGATTCGAATCAGAGTCAGCAATTGTAAAGTGATAAAATACTTCATAGTTTCTCTTTCATTAAATATTCTTTCGTTTCATTTTAGTACTCCAACAGATGAACATTTAAAGCATACAGTGAATTTAGCCTTTCCGGATCTTGATGAATCAAATATCGTTTACGTAATGAGAGAAATAAAATATATTTTACAAGAAGCGAATCGTCATCTATTGAATGTCTTCTCTTTCGATCACAACAAAAATGTAACGGAAACAATTTTTAAAGCTATCTTTACTGGTATGAATGTCAATAATATAAAAATTTGAATTAAATTTATATTTGTTTGTTAGTGAAAAATAAGCAATGTGAAACATATAATATTAACTATAGAGAAGGCGACGAACAAAATCAAAACCAACAATATGCACAGGAGCTAGATAAGTTAATAGATTTAACACTTGAATGGAATTGTTTAGATGGAGCTTTACCAATACTGCAATTAAGACAAAATACTATGAAAAAAACAAATGATGCGATTAGTATGGTAATATTGCAGGTAGTAGAAATACTCATTTTTACTGTCGATTTATTCTAGAAAGAGAACGAAAGTTACAAATTGTTTAAAAAGTCTCTCACAAGGAATCGTCCAGCATTTGTTGAATATTTTCTTGCTGCTGGTTTTGATATACGTACTCTAATGGAGATAAAACATAAACATCAAGTTAAAAGAAGTCTTTTAGAATTATATAAAGATACTTATGGTAGCACAAACCAAGTATGAATATAGAATCAACTTCTTTTTTCTTACATAAAATATTTTTTCTTGAATGAAGAGTCATGTTCAATGTGTAAAAACATTATTTGATAGTCCATCTATGACAAATATAGAAATGCTTGATGAAAAATTATATAGACTTGTTGGTCCATTTATTGAACCAATTTATTCATCGAATGGAAATGATTGTACAAAACGTATTTGTATAGACATGAAAAGTCTTTTATATAAATATAGATGTAGTTGCTGTAAATCCGAGAAAGAACATGACAAGTCATCGCATGACCCAAATAAATCACTTTCTCATGGAGATAATCAAAATAATAATGAAGAATTTCCATGTACAAACGATAAATTGTTTCGTGATCTTTTTTTATGGTCTATTTTTATGAATATGCCTGAGATGGGCAAAATATTTCTTTTTTATTTATCATCTCGTATTTGTGCTGCTTTAATAGCTTCAGCTATATTTAAACGATATGCTCGAGTATCGACAAACCTTTATTTTAAAGAAAAATTTCAACAACAAGCACTTGATTTCGAAAAATATGCAGCAGGATTCATTAATAAATGTTCTCAACAGAATGAAAGATTAGCATGTGAATTACTTTTACGAGAAATACCACTTTTTGGCAATATTACATGCATGCAGGTTGCTTATTTTGAATAGATATTTTTGAGTCCATAACATTATTGTGTGGAATAATGATTTAGGTTGCAATCTCAAGTGAAATTCAAAAATTAGTTGCAACATCTTGTTTTGATCAAGCATTGAGTCAAGTATGGTTCAATAAATTATCTATTGCAAATCATCGAACCTATGCAAAACCATTACAATGTTTTGCCATATTATCTTTTGGTCTCTTAGCACCTATAATTATTCGTTATCGAGAAGACGATTTTGTATGTAAACAAGTATTTTTTTTTAAGCCAACATTTTTATTTTATTTAAATTTTAGGAAACAGAACGTATACCGTAAGTAGATATCTCTTCTTTCAGAAAACTATTTATCTAATAAGTTATCTTTCTCATAGATTATGTTCACATGGGATAAATTATTATATAGATAAGAAATCATCTCAAAATGATTGTCTTAAATATTGGACACGTTTTATTGATTTTCATCAAAGTCCAATGATAAAAATGTGCTATCATTTTGTAAGGAAATCTATGTTTAACTAACGAAAAAATATTATTTTTCACTATTTAGATAAGTTACATATGGTTTTTACTTGTATTTAGTTATATGATGCTTTATCATCTTGATAGTCCTGCTTCATTTACAATTCCACATTGGACTGAAATTTATGTCATTATTACAGTATCAAGCATGTTTTGTGAAGATGTTCGAAAAGTAAAATTAATTTATGTTATCGAAAAAAGAATTGTTCTATTCTTTGTTAAAGTTGTATTTTGCATATAAAACGCGCATGGTTGAACGATGGCATTTAACAGGATCAACTGTTCTAATGATGTTAACATATATGTTTTATGTTATACCTTATCTTCTTTTTTATCTGGGTCTTGGTTTTCGATATAGAGCTTATGATGAAAATATATTAACTACTGCAAGGTTCATTAAATATTTCACATAATGTTTTATGAATCATTCCATTATAGGATTATTTGGGCATTCGATCTTGAATTATGGTATATTGGATCACTTAAATTCATTATGGGTTTAAAATCGTTTGGTCCAAAATTATTTATGCTTAAGAATATGGTTTGTGTTTCTTTTTGAATACAATATGTTTTTTTATTTTAAATTGATGAAATTTCAGCTTCGAGATCTATCTGGTTTTGTCTATATGATTTTCATAGCAGTAGCTGCATATGGTGTTGTATCTCGTGCAATGATTTTTTACAAGCAAGTTCCATTTACTTTTCAAGATATAGTCAAGAATATTTTTTACGAACCATATTGGTTTATATATGGAACAGTAACGGATAAAGATTTACTCGATCGTAATGCTGTTTTTTGCTTTATTTCTGAAATTGTTTTATTAGATTTTATTTTGTTTAGAGAAACTCAATAATGATACAGAATCAGTTGCAGCAGAAGCAACAGCTACTCATGTTTTATTAGCATTTCATATGCTGTTCATTAATATTCTTATATTAAATTTATTAATCGCTGTTTTTACGTAAATATTTAATCATTAACAAACTCCTTACTGCACTAAAAGACCTTCGATCTTCAATTATGCCAGAGCATTCAAATCTTTCGATGGAGTCTCGTATCGTATCCCATTTATTTTCATAGTTGTTTTATATCAAAGCATTTTTTCAAAAAAGTGAAACCATTTTCAAGAGTAGGATACAGATTTTTCTGAATTCTCAGAGCTCAGGAATAATATTAATCTCAGTCTTTGAAGATTTTTTAATTCGAAACTAGGCATAGTTTCATGTAAATATAAAGGAAAGAGAAGGAGTCTACTATAACAAGGAGAGTTTTATTAAAATATATTAATTGTTGACTTTAGTCATACTATTGATGAAGTGAAAGAAAATACTCAATTTTATTGGCGTTATCAACGTTATGCATTTGTTCGAGAGTATTTTGAACGTCCACTACTTGCTTATCCACCATTGAATTTATTGGTCTATATCGTACTGGGTTTTAATGTTCTTCGATGGAAATGTTGCCCAAAATTATGTCGTAATCGAGTTGAAGTTGAAGATCATCGATCAAAATCAAAGGGAATTATAGGAGTTTTTAGTAAAATTGATAACTCCATTTCGCTTTTTGGTTAAATCAATGCATAAAATTCATTTAGAAATGATTCCGGAGAATGAGTACGAAGGAACTGATCAATGGAATGCATTTGAAAATGCAGCTACACGTAGTGATGTTTTTTCGATAATGGAAGAAAATAAAAAGGTAAATGTTTTGACAATGGATACGATTCATTCAACAAAAATAACAGATACTGCTGAGTATAACTATATTTTTTTCTTTTTTGTGCTTTAATAATAATTTTTGCATAGATCTGATGTGAGAAAATCCAATTCTAATGTAGAACAAAGGATTTCATACTTGGATGAAGAAATATCCACAATAAAATCAATTGTTAATGATAATAAAAAAAATATTCAAATGGTATATATAATTGTAATTAATTAAATAATTTGATAATTTTTAATTATTTAGATTCATCGACAACTAACAAATCAAGTGCAACAGGTAACAAATGAAAGTGATTTGTTTTTTTTTCTTGTTTCGATTACTAAATTAGGGCTTTGTATTCAGATCAATGAATCATTGCAATTAATAATGAATGCGATGGAACAATCGAAAAATAAATGATCATAATAAATGACCACCTAAATAAAAATTATTATCTGTTTGTAGTGATATGTTAGAATAAGCTTAGACAATCATGAATTCCACTAAATTAATATATTTAATTGTGATTTCTATTTTATTCAAGATTTATGTATAGTTTTGTTTTTGGTAATTTTATTGTAATAATTGAAAACATATATTCATCATATAAGAAATAAGAATAAACATAAATGGTTATGAATCGGCTAACGGATTGAATGATCTGATTTGAAAATTGACGACTTCATGCAAGGTTAAAGTGTGAAACTTACAAACTCGGACTGTTATAAACTTGTAGTATATTGTCGAAGGAGTTAGAATAATTTATTTCAAAAAATGCTAAATGAAATGAATAAATCAAAATTATAACAATTTCTATAGTTGATACGTGCCCTCTGAGATTTTATTATTTCGAAAATATAATTTGGGTTTATTTAACATCATTGTACGCAGAAAAATCCTTTCTATTGTCAAATACAGCTTCAATACATAATTTATTTTCTTCTAATGAATATATATGCAAGACATGCCATAGGAAGTGACACATACCATTAATCGTTCAGTTAGCTTCCGAGCACACCGTCTTTTCTTCTGCAAACTTTAACATATACTGTTGAAGACACCTACACTAAGATCTTTTATCCTGTATCAAATACGAAAAGCCTCAATATTTAAACTAATTAGAACCCACAGTAGAAGTCTTATACTCATAGAATGCTTCGGGAGATTCTAGAGAGTTTCCGAATGATCTAAGCATTGTTGTTACTAACATGACTTCTTCCATTGCTGAAAAAATATTCCCAATGATCTTTAGCTTTCCTTCTTTCATGCTCTGGTTGCTAGGATCTATGAGGAGAGGGAGTGGCGCAAAAACCTCAATTCAAACTTATACTGACTATTTTCTATGAAAATATTTTTGTGCTCCATGAAACAATAAGGAGAAAACACCTCTAAGAAAATCATATCTAATCTGGAACTGTATTTTTTAGTTTCGTCCGCTTGAGATTGGAAAAAGCCATTCTTCTTTAATATCGAGTACTTTTACAGAAACATGTGTTTAGTATAATGAGCTTGCGCAATTTTGCAAAACTCCGTATTAGATGAAACTTCTACAAAAAGTTCTTCGACTCATGACACCGATGTAACGTAAAAGCGAACGTTCCAAGGCCTAGCTAAAAGTTTTCTAGATAAAACTCATCTGTCTCGAATAGAAACACTTGTATTGAAGACTAACTTCATATTTGGAATCAATATCGAAAACTACTTCGAATGATGTATAATGTATTAGTCTTCCATATAAAAAAAAGTTCTTTTTCAGATTATCTTGACATGTGAGAGATGATAAAACAATATCCAGTCGATAAAAAAATGCTCACTGTGTGCCATCAAAAATAACAGTCAAATAATTCTTCTTGTCTTATAATCAACTAGGTGGTGATGAAATTTATTTTCCGACAGATCAAAAGAAAAAAACAAGCTGAAATCAATGATCATCAGGTCTTATCCAATGTTGTTCACACATACTGAATTTCATGAGTACTGGTCCCATAGCATCTAATGGTTGCATAGCAATACCAAGTGGTCTATCAATAAGTACAGAACCAAGTCTTAAGCATTCCGAATAATCATGATGATGTTTAGTATCTTGTAAAAATTCATCAGAAATAAAATTTTCATTTTTCCATAAAACTTTTGATGGCACAAGTAATGATGATGTTCGAGAAATAGAAATCGATGGTTTTTTTTCTTCACGAATAATTTGATTGTCTGATTGAAAATTATTTATTATAGGATTTGAATGAGATATCATAGATGATGGTTTTACTTGAGATTTAACAAGATTAGAATCTATCAAATTCAATGAAGATTTTCTGAATATACTTGAATATCGAACAAGACAAATAGCAATCAATAATCCATTAATGAATAGAACAATACAAATAATTATTAATAGAACATTCATGAAATCCAAGTTGAATAGAATATAGAAAAGGCGGTAAAATTTCATGTTTGCATATCTAAACTTCGTTTATATGTATTATTCAATAAAATTATTGCACAAATACAACATCAAAAAATAAAATATTTATAAAAAGAAAAAAAGAACTATACGACAAATACAGACAAAAACAATATATGGAATTTAAATAATTAACGTAGATCAACTTCATCATCATCTAATTGCATTGGTTTGACACCCGATGTTGATGAAGAAACAGAATTTATTGTTCTTTGTTGTTCATCATCTTTATTTGTTATTGGACGAATCCAACGTTTTATTAAACGAACAAATTCAGGTTCAATTGCCATAAAATATGGTTTCTACAATGAAATAAATCATCAAGTTTTAACTTAAAAAAAGTAAACTTTTGTTGTTATTTTTACTTGGCAACGTTGACTAATTAAATCTTTGTCATCTTGATCAAATGCATCAAGTAATAATTCAATATGATCTCGTTCTTCCCATTGTTCAAATGTTGGATAAATTTGACAAGCTTGATCAAATATATTTCTACCAGCTACACTATCATCATTAAATAATTTAAGTAATATTCGATAAAGTATTATACGATTAATATGATCATAACGTTCTAATGTTGTTAAAGTTTTTGTAACTATTTCAAGTAATTCAGTTGTTTTTGAAAAATTTCCTGTACGAAATATTTGCATAGCTGCTTTTTCATATAAATCAGCTGCTTGATAAGTTTTATCTTCTTGTTCAGCTAAACGTGCTGCTTTAAGATAAAAATCAATAGATATTTGACGATCAATTTGTTGAAATTGTGGTGCACAACGTTCATAAATTAGTATACCAGAATCAGGATGACCTAGAAAAATAAATAATGAACTATATTTATTTTAATTAATATTTAAATTCTACCTCCTTCGACATATAATTCTCCTGCTTTATCATAATATTTAGCAGCTGTTGTTAAATCTTGTAATTGTTGTGCCATTTGTGCTGCTTGTTCATAGGATTTTGCAGCAAAAAATGTACTACCTTTTTGTATTTGTAATTCAGCTAATCGTATTGATAAATCTCGACATTGTTCATATTTTTGTGCTACACGGTAACATGTACATGCTTTATCGAATTCATCAATAGCTGAATCAAGATCTGGCTTCCATTTTGTGAATGAAGTTTTTAAATATTTTTCTCCTTGTTTAACATGTTCTTCAGCTTCTTTAATTTTAGCAGAAAAATTTATATTAAACATGTTTTTTGTCTAAAAGATAGAGTAATCAACAAAAAAAATTCTTTTTTTTTTTTTGGGATAATAGAAGAAAAGAAGAAAAAAAAAAACAAGCATCCTATATTTTTCTCTCGAGTTTATTATATCATAAAAGAAAAGTTTGAACAACTATTAAATGATGATTTCCATTTCACGTGCATATTGAATCATTTGTGTTGCAATTTCATCTGCAGGTATATGTTCATTTTCATGTTTTATTTGATTATCAGCAAAATGAAATGATTGATCAGATGCCAATTTCCAACCATGCTAAAAACAATAAAATTCAATTCATTTACAAAAATTTTTCTTTTTGTTTTTACATTTTTTGTTATTTCAGCTAATTCTTCTGGATTATTTAAATAAAGAATACGTGCAGCTTCATTTAATGATACTTGTCGATAGGATTTTTCCATACAAAATGCAATTTCATCACTATAAAAATCAAATGATATTAAGTGAAAAAAAAACGAAATAAAAATCATACCGAATTGTATTAAGAAGAATATCCATAAAGAAAGTAAATAAAGGTGATGGAACATTTCCTTTAGCAAGAAAAACCTAACCGAATCCAAAAATAATTATTCATATATTTATTTAATTAAAAGAATTTTTTTACCTTATTATAGCTTCCTTCCATTAAATACTGTTCAAGGGAAACAGGATGTTTTATATATGGATTTGCTTGAATAACTTTTGGTGTAAGTAATTCCAATTCCTTGCAAAGAAAAAGAAAACAAATATTCATGTTTTGTTTTGTTTTTTCTATAAAAATATAATTTTCTACCGTATGAAAATCAGCAAGACGATTTTGTGATAATAAACAAAGTAAATTTAAGCCAAGTAATAAATAACGATACGGTGATTCAGGTATTCGATTTCTTAATTTCATCAAAAATATAATAAAAATTTCAAAAAATAAAAAATAAACATACTCAAGATCAAAATAAAATGGTTTAAGTTGAGCAAGAGCTCGTTCAAATGCTGGTATATCACCTTTTTGAATTGCACATTGTGCTGCTATTTCAAGTGTATCACCTATTTATACATTTAAAACAAAAAAAATCGTGATTCATACAAGAAATAAGACATACGTGCAATATGTAAACCACGTGTATCTTCATTTGAATCCGATGGATAGAATCCACCTTCAGCAAATAAATTCTAAAAAAATAAGTCAAATTTATGCTGATTGAAATGAACAATAAAAAAAAACAAGGTACTTTTAATAAATTGAGCAATTCATCAGTTTTGCCAACATTGGGTGGCTTACGACCCCATTCATTTTTTAGTTTTTCATATAATGGTATAGCTTCTTTTAATTTAGCATCCATTGTTACAGTTGCCATCTGAAAACTTAGATGAAATAATAAATATTAACGTGCGAACTTTTAGTACTTGTTTGTCGAATAGAAAATTGTCCGATCTGAGCTTTTGTATAACAACACTTTCTTTTGATTACTATTGGAGTAAAAATTCAACGAGCCAGTTACATTTGTCTGTTGACAGTGAGCACCATCTATTGATATTTCTTATTATTCATCTGTAACTTGTTGTTTCGTGAATAAATATATTTAAATTTCATTCTCTATGGCTTACAGAAAATATCAAATAGACTAGAGTCATTGCGATATATCTGTACTTTAGAGTTCGAACGACTTGAATGCTCAAGTAAATGAGGTACAAGCTGGAAGTGGCGTCTCTCCTGCGAATTTACGACGAAAATCTAAGGATTCGGGTGCTAGAATTATTGATTTGAGTAGCATATTAATTTCAAAAAGTATTATATTTTATGTTATTTATATGTACTAATTTCGGAAAACGTTTGTCCGGATTCAAGCAAACATGGTGCTAGGTGATTTATAGAATAGATGTCCATCGCAGTCGAAAATCTGCTATTGTCGCGACGCGCTATAAAGAAAACTTGCCGCTATTGCGCCGTCGTCGCAATGGTATTCAAAAAGACGTTTCGATTTTCAAGATTGTGACTGCTTTGAATTAGAGCAACTGCTGCTAATCGATCAAATATGACAAGTCGTACAGTATAACATATATGAACACTGATGTTCTGAGCAAATCCATGGATTTTTGAAATGTTTTCCTAAAAATGCTGCCATCATGAACATCTTTGAATCACAGAACTGCTTACAGTGATAAAAGAATAAATTTTTAGTTTAGCCTGTTTTATTTTGGACGACTATTAGTAAACTATATGAACATATTGAAATAAAGATAGATGAACAGATTGAATTTTATGAACTGTGTCTACTAACATTGCTCCAAAAATTATTAACATCAAACTGCTTCATTCTTAATAAAGAACTAGTATCACTCGATTGAAACTACGTTTATAAATATCGACCAATATAACTTTGACATGCATGATCGTCTAAGAACACCGATTATTTGAGGAAATTTCCGTGGAAAAAGTGTTCTATTCGACTTGTTTATGAACCACTATCGAGACCTTAAAACTTATATTGGGAATTTCTACTTAAAAAAATATATATGCTTTTAGACTGATCTAAACATGTCTTATAGTGCTCTCTGTGAGTTCTATTTACAGTTTAAAAAAGAATGAATCCTTATCGTATCTTTCCCAAGAGATGGGTTGCATCGAATCATCATATATAAATTCGGTTAAATCGCAAACAAATTTGTACCATCCATATCATGACAAGAATATAATAAAGAATCGTTATTTATTTATATTGTAAATACAACTCATTGAGCTCTACAAGCAGTATAGAATTAAAAACTGGTTTTCTTTTCAAAGTTGATAGTGGAGAAAACAGATAACAAATTAAAATGGTTATAACTATCAGCTATTTTAACTTGCTAATGTTTTTTCAGAAGATTTAATTAAATTGAAAAAATAATTATTTTGATTTAATTGACACATTTGATAGAATACATTAAAACATAACTTAGTATTTATAGGTCATTATTCTGAGTGTTTTTTCATGTATTAGATTTTCTCGTATTTGCTCATTGACTGTTCATGAAATGATACATTCCTTAAGTGGTTTTTCTATGTTAACAGCTATAAATGAAACGCGTAAATTACAATCATTTTCTATTGAACATATATATATTGAACAAGCATATAGAATTTTGAATTAAAGTATGTCTTTGAAAGCTTCATAACTTTCCATGTAAAAAAAAACTAGAATAAAAATCACAAAAACTTGATAATAAAAAGTCGATATTTTTTTGCACAATTTTTGCACAATTATTATCGAAATTAATTCGAAGAATCAATAAAATTTAGATTTTTCGCTTATTTTCGCTTGTAATCATTTTTTAAACTGATCATTATCTGTATTTTTTTATATGGGTGGAGAACTATTAAAAACTATTAGTCATATTTATATCATAAATAAGGTGTTCTGATACCAGATATCAACAAGTCACCGTATACTTATCCCTTTTGAATAATGTAGGAAATATTTCGCTTTACCTTTAACTTATAAGAAAACAATTGTTACATATTATCTCATTTGTCCACTTAACAACAAGAAAGAACGAAAACAGTAGAACAATGTATGTGCTGATACGTGTAGTGATGGACATATAAGAATCAACTGAGAGTAACTTGGCACAGTTATTTCATATTTAAATAAAATATACGTGACTATACTGACAGGAAGCATTACGTAAATTTCCTTGCAACATACATTGTAGATGATTACTATTTTAGAGAACAAGAAATATCATAAAACAGTTTCAGTTTTTAAATACTATTCTCAGTTGCTCACATTTTAAAGATCATCATTGGTCATACAAAGAAAAATATATTGTGTTACACGTGCATTCGCTCTCGACATATAAATATGAGAAAACGTAATTTTCAAATGAATAAATGAAAAAACTCTGAGAAAAATCTACATTTATTATGTTGTTCAAGTAAAAAACAATGAAATACACATATTTTAATTTACTTGATCAAACATATCAATCAAATCTTCTCAAAAACTAAAAATTTAATCGAGTTAAAATAGTCGATAGTGATCTTTTTCAGGAAGATTGCTACAAATAACTGATGTTCTTAAACGATTATGCATGTTAAAGTTATATTGATCGATGTTTATAAACGTAATTTCAAGTGAGTGAAATTAGTTCTTTATAAAGAGTAATTCAAATTGATGTTAATAATCTTTGAAGAGGTGTTAACGGACAAGATTCATCAAGTACTATCGATCCGTATAAATTGATCTAACCTATCTTTACTTTCAAAATATTCCCGTGATTTACTAAATTTATAATCAACAACAGTTCGTAAGAATAACTGGTTCGCTTTATGATATAATACTATATAAAATTCGAGGTTTTTCGTTTGACTTTTTCTTTGAAGACATGTTTTAATTCATTATTTTATCAATGCGATAGAAGAAAAAAAGAGGCCATAAAAACTTTGTCCTATAATAATAAATTCAATGCTATTGGAGTGCATGATTTTATTTTAGTATTTAGAAATAGGTAAAGTATAAATTAACATGTGTTAACCAAGACATCGTTCAGGCATTAGTCTACAATTTTTCTGAATCAATAAAAAAAAATGTAAATATAAATGTGATAAATATTGCTCAGATTTGTTTTGAACTACTTTTAAGTTCAATGCGATTATCATCGAACATATTGCAATATTCTATAGACTTTTTTCCTAAGAGACTAGAGCCTGATTGGATGGAAACTTTTTCGAACCCAATCGAACTATACTTTAATACTTTCAATGAAATTTTCTAATCGAAGTTGAATAGTAATCCCGAAGATACAAGATAAATTTGTTCAGTTCTTTTTATTTCGGCAACTAACACAATGTACATATTTCTTAGATGACTAGAGTCCCTTGGTCGAAAATTTTCGTATCCGAATTCAGTTCATAGAAAAATTTCAGGCTCAGGCCCAATTCAACAGGCTCTAACTAAGATACGAGTCTTTAGACTCGTAATCAGATCAATTTATGAATACTTGAAGTGGCATTTCAATAATTGAAGTTAACTTTTAAATTTTACTATCAATTGATATCCGGAAATGTTTGTATTCCTATAGATGTCATAGAGGAACAGTCAAATCATATATTTTGCCTGTAGCGATATCATGTGTCATTCTGTTCTATGAAAGCAGTCTTCAGAAAAAATAAACATTATCTTGTGTTTAGAAAACAACCAAGTTAATTTTGTTTTTGACGCTATTTTAATGGACATCGTAGAAAAAGTCGTTGGAAGTGATATAGTTTTACTTTGGCTTGATGACCATATTGGTCAAGATGGAACTTATCCTAAACTTAAACAAGAATTTGAATCAAATACAACTAATATATATTTCTTTCATGATATTGATCGATGTCGTCAATTTTTATCATGTGTTCGACAAAAAAAACTTTTCTGTATTATTCAAGGTAAACATGCAAAAACTATTGTTCCACATATAATTGAATATGGAATTTCATCAGTTGTCTATATCTTTTGTTTACATATGAGTTATCTAACTGAATGGGCTTCAGATATTGATTGTATATTAGCTGGTGGTATATTTGATCATGAACAAGATCTTTTAGCTAAATTAACGAAAGATTTATCTGATTATGCTAATTTAAAAGTTAATGAATATCGTGTAAAAAGAGCTGCTTGTGATGAATGGGCGCAAAATTTAACTCAACATGCTAAACGATTACGAAATGAACAATGTACTTTAACCTATGCTACAGATCCATTCAGTGATCAAGAAACACCTTGTGAACAACCGAAGGAATAAATGTTTTTTGCTTTTTTTTCTCACATTTTGTTTTGAAATCTTTTTAAAATAAAATATAATCTCTTGAGTGAAATTGTATGTCTTTAATTAAATTCTCATAGTTACCATCAAAAAAAAAAGAAGAAATCATATTGTTTAGACATAAATGAAGAGAAAATTTATTCAAACGAATTGGAACAATAATATTAGAGATATGAAAAATTTTGAACAAAAGAAATCTTTAAACTATAAATCAAAAGAAGAATATACAAATCAATTAGATAAAACTTATGAAATAAATCTTCATGGAAAATTTACAGTCATTATTCGTAGATCATTTCTTCGGTTACATATTCGTCCAACAACATATATTAATCCATGTTATTTATATGATTTATCATCTATGTGTGATTCCGAAATGGTTTTACCATCGAATTTAATTGATAATCTTGATTTAGATAAAAATAGAATAGGAAAAAAACGAAAATCAATACATAGAAAAATGAGAAAATTAGTAACAAAATATAAGAAATCGATTAAAGAAAATAAATTATCAACATTTATTGTTCAAGCATGTATGTTCAACTAATGACGGGTAAAGGAGGACAGTATTATTCGTCATTTTTCAATAAAGATACATAATTCATCATAATGCTGAATAAGTCAATCAGACGAAATCTGAAATTAAATGTTCTTTAATTTTTCTTTTAGTTACTACACAAAAACAAAATAATTATTACAAACTTTCATCTGTTATTACCGAAAAAGAACATTCTCATTATGGGCTTTTTATATTACTTTTTATTATTAGTATTATTATCCTTGGTTTTATTTTATGGTAATTTTAATAAATCTTTTTTTCAATACTTATATTTATTTATTTATTTCTATTTTCTAGGTACGTTTTCATTAAACCATCACAATCGCGTAAGTTTAGATAGATTATTTATCTATGGCTGTCATTTAAATGGTCAGTAAAAACTACAGATTCGGTCAATGATAAATACAGATCCATTTTTACGCATATAAAATACGGTATGAATGCGGGTTCGAATGGATTTTCATTTCATTCATCTTCATACACCCTTATGATCAGCGTACTCAACTCAGAGTTATAACCGGTCGACTTAAGAAATCTTCTAGACTGATGAAAACATTGACCAGCTTGCTGGATTATTATTAATCGGTTAATGAGAATGACTTAAAAATACATTCATTTCACTTTTTGCATTTATGAAAAAAGGCCCGAGATGTCTTTTGAGTCCATAATTTGCTCCGTGGTAGGGAACCTAAAGATTAGAACAGATCCCAAAGATTTCTTGCTGACATTAAGATTCGACCGAGATATTGATCTTTTAGTGAATTTTCCCTTTATCGTCGTAATTTTTCGATAAAATCCTATTGCCGAGTTTTAGCCTGGAAATTTCACTCAGATGAAGGTTTCAGTGAGACTAGCTGATGCACAAAACTTCAGAAGTTTTTAATCGAATCCCTATGAGTTATGCAACTTTCAAAATATGCATGTTTTAAACGGTATCAATGAAAAATTACATGAAATCTGATCAATTTATATGTCAAAGACACTCGATCGAAAACTTCTGAAGTTTCGTGCATAAGCTAGCCTTACTGAAACCTTTATCTGGACGAAGTATTCAGATCAAAAGCCGACAATAGGATTTTATCGAAAATCTAGGTTCATGCAGGGAAAATCTACTAAAAAGTCAATATCTTGACCAAATCTTAACGTCACTACGAACTCTGTGGAGACTTAGAATCTTTTAATCAACTAGGAACATTACTTTATCAGGTTTTTACAAACCTTTAGAAAAATAAGATTATATTATTGTCGTTTATATCTATTGGATTTCTCTTCGAGCGATGATCTAAACTGAAGTTTGATCTTTACCAAAAGTGTTTAGCTCAAGTAATAATGTTTTGTTTGTACTTTTTTAAAAAATAAAAAAAAATTCGATTAAAGAAATAAAACAGCATGGACGAAGAGAAGAAAATAATAACGTTTGATTATTTTCATAAGAGCAAGCACACTTGCTCTAAACAAGTTTTATCAGAGAAAAATGGAATATCTATAAAATATTTTTCAACCGGTGATGATCGTAGTGATTGCAATTTAACTTTTTTCCACGGTCTGCATAATGCAACAAATAATACTTGTTCTATATTAAGGTCAACGATGCTTGGCTTTGTTGCATGTTTAATAAACTGTTTTCTTATTTTCTGTGTAATTCGTTCAATATTTTGACTATTAGTTTCTAATTAATATATCTGCTCCATTATTATTATCAATCATAGTATGGTTAACCCAATATTTTGATTTCTTTTATTTCGCAAAATTGTACGTTTCTATTTAGTTTATTATTTTCTTTTCTAACTTTTCCATCTGTCATATAGCTTTCATACGGAGCAACTTGTAACAAGTCGATCTTGTTTACTCGTAGAGTTGAAGGAAAGCACAGAAGTAAAGAATACCTAAATATATATCGTAAATATTATCTATATAATATTTACAAGGAAATAAAGACAAGAAGAAAAAAAAGTGAATGATGCTGTAATGCATCTCAGTTTTTATACTTAATCTTTGATTTAATTGACTGTTTTCAAATTTTATTTACTGACCAAATTTTTTTTTCGGTTTTATCTATAAGATTGATGTTGTTTTTCATTTATTCAGTCAAATCGACTATGCATCCACTATCTGATGATTGTGATTCAGACGATTGTAATAATAATGATCAATATAAAATACAAAGATTATATGATTTTAACACAGATTGTAGGTCATCACAAACAAATAGAAGCATTGATTCACTGGTTTTCGATGATGATAATGATGCTAATTATCTAGAAAGAAAATGTAAGAAAATAAATCTTTATTTTATTTTACTTTTATTTTTTCGAACTGAGAAATTCAGTAAATATAGACTAGAATACAAGCATTAATAACTAATAAATATTTATATATACAGCATTTGACAATATGACCTTGAACAATATTATAAATCATCATGAAACAACCAATCATAAAAATATGCAAGCGTTGATTCAAAATCTTCAACAATCGGGTAAGATAATCTTACAAGCAGCTATGGGATGCCGTTCGAATCCGTATGAGAACTATGAGTAGATTTCGGTGAAGCTAAGATAAAAAGAATTTGAGTCCATAGATTATTATTGAACAAAATGTTAGCGATTTCAATGAAGTTTTTATTGAGAACAAGGGATTTCCAAATAATATAAAACAATGTGTTTCGAGCTGCAATTTCGTCTACAAGCATGTTTGATAGTCTTGAAAAATTTTCATAAAAACGAAATACGTCTTTCTCGAGATATTCAATTTCCAAGTAGATTCGATTACTGTGCTCTTTTGCGGTACGCCACTATTTGTTTAGAAATTAATGATCTCGAGAAAAACTTGTTCGTTTTCGTTGAAACTTTCAAGACTATCAGACGTGCTCACAAGCAAAATTCCAACTCGAAACACTTTGTTTTAAATTATTCGAAAATTCCTTGCTGTCAGTAAATTTTTCTTTAAGACAGCCAACATTCCACGTCAGTAGGCCATGTAGGAAGCTGTGGGTTTACGTTTTTGCAGATCTGGGCCCACAAGAAGTTAAATATTTAGTCTCACTTGGACTTATCCGAAGCCATAATCAGAAGTCAAGCAGCGTCTGATAGTTGGATATGTTTCTTTGTTTGAGTTGCGCACAAATAGAATGAATTATGTTTATGTTTTCTTATATTTCTTAATATTACATGTATAAACTTTCTTCAAAGAGCATTTTGGATTTGTTTCGATTTCTTTGTTTGTTCATTTATAAAACTTGAGACTCAACAGAAAAAAAGAATTTTATTTATCAAAAATACATTCTATGTTTGCAGATTTCGAATCGATTAACTCTGCAACTATTGGTGAAATTCTTTCGGATCTAATTCATCATGAAGTAAATGTAGCTAATACAAACCCGAATCTAGAACCATCAACAGATCTTCTCACATTTCTTTCTGATACATCAGAAATTTTTCATATACTTCGAAGAATAATAACAAAAAAATGTTCATGTCAATTATTAAATCCAACAAATTTTATTCAATATCAACATTTAATTGATATTCTTCATAGTTCTGAATTTATTCTTGAATATCTTCGTCAATATCATTCAAATGAAAAAATATTTTTAATTGAAATTTTAACATATCTTTATCAAATTTTATCATCAATGAATAATAACTCATATAAATGTCAATATATTTGTCAATGTCTTTTTGATATTCTTCAGAAATTAGATAAGAAAAAAGTTCTTATTTACAATAAGAAGTAAAACAAAAAAACAAACTTTTTACATCATATATTTCTCATTTTCTATTTAATCTTGAATCTTCGAAAAAATAATCAAACGACAATTCAAAGGCATTTAATCATCTTTCAAATATTTCTTGTAACTCATCTCATTCCAGTTGTTATAGGTTACAATATGAAGAAAAAAAATCACAACAATAATAATAAAAATGATTCTTCTTCTTGTCTAAAGTTAATTTCTAATATTGATTGATCATTTAATTAAATATCGATCTAATTTCGCGGAGTATATCTGAATTTGATACAATACTGCAAATCACTGCTCAAAATATACATCAGACAAATATACTTTTTGCATACAAAAATTCAAATAATTTTTCGATGCTTCAAATTAGTATTACAGTTATTCACTCTCTGTTAGAAATGAAGATTCTTTCTGTAATATTCTAATCCATCATTAGCAATAAATGTCCCATAGAAAAGAAGACCCATCCTACTTTTTCCTATTTAGTTGTAACTTCTTGGGCGTATTTAATTTCGTTTATTCTATGTTTTGTATGAACGAACAAACGAGTTCCTTTCGTGAGCCAAAAAATGTGTACTTATGGACATTAATGAGAAGTATGGGATTTTACAGTTTAGAAATGAAACGATGTGTGCGGTGACAGAAATATGAACAAACTTTTGACTGAACGATGTTCGGTTGAAATTGCAGGAAAATTTATCGGACTTCAAAAACAAGTGCCAGTACGAGATCAGTACGATATCCATTATTGAAATAGTCATAAGATTTGAATCACGGATTCGTGATAAATGTAATATATCTCTGTGTGTTTCTTAACTTTACATAAGCTTCTAAGATGGCATTGCCTGACAGAGTCATATAGAAGTTTTTCCTCAACTTCTCCGAAGCTCGATAGTTTTTTAAACCAAAGTATCGTAATAAGCGCGGTTTAATGTATTTATATTTTTAGATCTGCGAAGTGTTCATGACAGATAAACGTGTGAATTAGAAAAGTAATGTAATGAGCGTATCACTCAGATTATCTGATAACATTGAACTGGAAAAAGGATAGAAATCATTTTGTGATTCGTCGACAACTACTATATCTCATATAAAAATTGTCAAACAGTTTCAAAGTTCCAATTTATAGAATTTTGTGCACTTCTGTGCTTATCATGTACCGAAATGACTGTATGGTTATGTAGTTCGATACATATTCACACAGTACCACCAGCCATGCAATGATCGTTGACAAGTCATCAACGGCTGTTTGTCTCTGAGCATCCGTTCGACAGCATATTGACTACATGATAACATATACCTGCTCTTGTGGTTAACTAGTGAGTGTCAAGAGCGTACGCGTTCTGTGTCAGACTGGCCTTCTCTTCAGAGCTACAGCTAATATTAGCCGTAGGGAAGGTATTGACTACTCAATCTGCCACTATGCAGCACCTCATAATGTAAGATAGGCGAATTCTTCCTTTCTTCCTGTGCTTATAAGCGAATCAAAATAAATTAGAAGCCGAATCCACTGCTTTTGTGTGAGGGAAGAAGGACTTTAATTGCCAACTTTTATTTTCTATGAGTCATCATGGACAAACTATGCATGTTAATATTCAACTGATGTTGCAGCTAGAAAATCTCGAATAACTTTACCTTTTTTTTTGGAGAAATCTACAGATGTAAAGTAAACGAGATGATCGCACATATGTCAATTCTACATGAATTCGATTCTGTGACACAGTAGTAACTTTGTATTATCCATGCCTTTAAATCTTATGATTTATTTTTTATCATTCCTATTCTCTTCATCGTTAGCATTTCTTTGCTTAGCTATAACTACCATATACGCATGTAGATGCCTTTCCTTATCATCCATTTTCATTTAAAAAGCAAACTTTTTTTTTCATGTTTTTTCAAACATGATATTTTATTTCAACCAGAAACTTTATAGCATCAATCTCATCAGTGCTTAACGACCACCAGTGATTGAACCATGAAGGTTGTTGATGGTTTCCGAGAGTGAACCAAGAACATTGAGACCATGACCAACAAGTTGTTCTTGAAGTTGTTCCCAGTGTGGTTTTGAGGCATCAAGAAGGTTTGAACCAATTGTTTGGAGACTGCCTACAATGCCTGATACGGCACCTTGAGCTGTTTGAAGCATGTTGCTGAATTGTTGTGAGAGACCTACAATTTAAAAATATGTAGATTTTTTTCTTCTTCTAATGTTTCTATGTTTACTTACCAGCGAAGAGATCACCAATGGCACGAGCTCCACCAAGACTACCGAGGGCACCAAGAACAGCAGATAAACCTTGGTTAAGGAAGTGTTGACCAAGTCCAGTGATAGCTGGTGCAACTTGATTGTAGAATTCGGTGAAGATTGCTCCAATGTTAGGTAAAGCACGACCTATGTATAAAACAACATGATTAAGATTTTCGAAACAAAAGAAAAAGATGTATACATACCAGTGAGAAGACCAGCAAGAGCACCAGTAAGTTGTTGAAGAACGTTGTTAGCACCTCCATTAAGAAGAGCTAAAAGGGGTTTGAGGACATTTTGGAAGTCGAAATCGAATCGGCCACCAAGTGAGCTAACAAGGCTTTGGAGTTGACCAAGAGCTTGTTGAGCAAGACCAACGAATTGTGTTTGGACTTGAGCTAAGATACTGGTAAGCATAGCTTGACCTTGTGCAATAATTCCTTCAAAAGCTTGGAGACGAGCATCTGCAGCCATGGAGCCAGCAATGCAGGCAAAGAAGATAATAGCAAGAACAGCTTTCATTGCTTACGCTTTTTGAACTTGGTAAGTGAGGATGAAAAGATTGAAATGATGCGTGAAGAGCCTGTGAAACCGAGGATCCTTATATAGTCCAATTGTTCCTTACTCCTACATCGATATGAGATCGCATCCATCTGTGTGCATTAGAGAAATTTACAAAGATGATAAAGCAAAAGCAAAGCAGAAACTACAAAAGAGAACAACAATCACATATGTTTTTTTTCACAGCCAAAGACTGTTTTATTTTTTTATTGGATTTTTTTCATGGTTATACCCTTCGTTGTGAGTGATAACAAAATATGTTGGTTTCAAAATCATAGTTTTTAAAAATTTGTGTCAACGAGCAGTTAAAGCTATTCTATATCTCATTTTATGTTGAGCATGATCTATAGAAGGTGTTCGCTTGATGGCGAATTGTAACTGCAACACGTTTTTTACTTCATTATTTCTTTACTGTCTTTGAAATACACTGAAGATTAGTTACATTTGTTAGTTGGATTTTAATTCAATAATATCGCGATTTCAATTTACTAATCATCTCAAAATACATTAGTAATATTAATATTTATCATTTATGTTCATGTATAGAAAAGATAGCAATAATGAGGAGTCGATAAAATATTTTGTCATAGAATATATTGAATTATAAGAATATATTTTGTCGACAGAGAATGACTTTAGTATCTACTTCAAATACACCATTTTAAATGGATTCAATGGAATAAATAACAAACAAGTTTGCAGTGAATAATATTATTCTTTCAAGTAAGCAGTTAAATCGACAAACATTGGCATCGTCATTTTTTTTCATCGTATATTTGATACGAATACGTAAAAGCTTTCATAGTAATTCTTTCAACTTGAAATAATCAACTATCTGCAAGAGTAACTGGTGCTTTTGTTTACTACTGAAGCATAAATAATAAATCTCCTTTTCGTTTGTTAAAAGAAATTATTAACAATTGAATAAATCTATAAAAATAGATAAGCATCTTTGTCGTCTATTCAATGTATACACCGATACGATCTATAGATTTAAACATTTGCGTGTATATTTATTTGAAAAGAAGATAACTTTTTTTTATTTCCCAGAAAGACAAACAAGGAATAAAACCACGAAATAAGATATAAACTAACGATTATTAAATAAGATTTATATGTATATATATAAATATTAAGTCGATTATGTAACTTAAATTTGTCTTTCAAAAATGTTTTGTCATTGATTTAGCATCATTTGGATGACTTTCTGCATGTGCTTTTGTTGTTATAACTGTCGTTGTTGTGCTTGTTAAACGACGAGTTGCATCTTCAACACCAAGCTATAAAACAAAATAATTAATTTCTGCTTTTGTTTTTTTGTATAAATTTAAATAGCTTACATGAGCAACTTTATCAGTGATTTCTTCAATTTTTAAATTTGCCTTTGCTTGAGCTTCTTTAAATACATTCTAATACAAAGATTATACAGATAGAAAAAAAGCGAAAACAAAAAACAAAAAATTATTCACCATTTTTAATCGATTAGCTTCCTCATTTAATGCATCAATACGTTGTCTAGCTGTTTCAAGAATGTGCTCTTGACGAAGATTTAATTCTTTTTCAAGTTGTACTAGTGTAGCCGCTTTTTCTTCATCAAGTTGATTAATAAATCTTTAAAAAAAATAGATTTTTATTTTTAAATTGAATTGCTTTTTTTGTTGTTTCTTTAAACTTACAACATTAATTTTTCTTTATATTTATTTTCAATTTCAGTTGATTCTCTTTGAGTATCATCAAGTAATTGTTGTTGTTGAAATTGTGTTTCATGAACAATTTTTTCGATACTATTTTTAACAGCTTCAGATATTTGATTATTACGACCTCGAGAATATTCATCAACTTGTGCATGTGTTGAACCTCAAAGAAAAAGCCCAGAATTCGAATGATTTTAAAAAAATAGAAAATTATTTTATTTTACTTAATTTAGCCATTAATTCATTGATTTTATTTTGTGAATGTCGAATAGTTGCTTTCGATTGTGTTTCACTACTAACAACCGATTTGACTTTCACATCATCACATATAACTGTATGAATATTGGCCTTTTTGTCAGAAATTTCACCGTGTCCAGTAAGGGCATGACCAACAGCATGAATTAACGACGACATGAATTTGTGATGGCTACCGTGTTGAATATAAGAAAATGAACGGATACGAGTCTCGTTTCTTCTCTTTTTTTTTCTCTTATTGTATTCTATAGAAAGAAGAGAATGAACTCGAGGTCAAGTCGTATATGTACACATAGATATTCTTCTGTTGCTGCCTTGCTTGGCAAGAGGGCATGGCGCGAACAATTTGATAAAATAGTAACAAATGGGGTCAGAACGATATTAATTAATTTGACCTGACTAAATTCTAGAAACACAGATTTATTTTAAGTTCAAAGAAACCATAAAAGCACTCATTGTTCAATTTCGATAGATTGGGTTCTCAGGGATATAAGGAAAAATATTTTTTTTAAAAATTCAATGTTTATTCTTTTCAATGTTACAATACGAGAATGAAAGAAATTACTAGAATGTTTTATCAGTCATTATTTTATTGGTTTAGACAAATTATTATAATGTGTCAAAAGAAAATATGCGTATGCTACATGTATTATCATATTTGTTTATATTATGTTATGTCATCTCGAAATGAATAGAACATGTTGACCATGTTGTCATATGAGAACATAGAACGGAAGTCTATTTGTCTTAGCCTACAAAAAAAAATAAGACGTTTCCTGTTAATCTCTCTTTCGCTAACGTTTAGTAACTTTATGTCTGCAAGCTTATTTTGTTAAAATACTAAATTATGTATGTGAACATTATGTCTAGAAATGAATATAGTTCTGAATATCGTATTACTAATATTTATCCCAAGTTTTTTTTTTCTAAAGAACGAGAATTGATAGATTACTTACGAATATGATTCCTGTTATTTTATTAGAAAGAATATTTCTCTATTTTAATTTCAATAACTCTTTTACAACTTATTGTTGCGCAAGAATGTAACGAGTGTTTTGATGAGTGTCTTATATCTTTATGAAAACTGAATAAAATGAATAGACGAAGATGAGACGATAAGCCAAAATAACATATTAACAAAGTCTCGAAAACAAATATTTAGGTCTTACTATGCAGAAGACAGAAAAGAAGAAACTTGAATGCAAAAAGAGCTTAGTACACACCATAATCATTTCTTCTTAATAATAGTAGTCCGATAGAGATGTAAACAAACGATGAATAATGATTTGTTGCTGAACTACTCTTCTATATCAAAAATAGTATAGCATAGTGTTCTTCACTGTATATGTTTATATCACAAAAATATGCTTTATTGCCTGTAACTGAGCAATTTATCATCTCTCTTTTTATTATATAAAAGATCAATTTAATAAAACTCCAAGGAGCGATCTTATCACTACTTTATATAGATAATTGATATTTCCAACCAATTGATCGATATGTGAAATAGAATGAATTATTTTGATACATTAAATTCTAATTCAATATTCATCGTCGAATGATGTTCTATATGGTCTATTTATATCTGTCACTGACAACACAATGACTAATATTCTTGATTGTTTTCCTAAGACTATTCTCTAAATAAATATAATACACATTATCCTCGTTTTAGATGTAATCTAGCCTGTTGTATTTAATGTATGCAGCTATATATAAATTCTATTGAGAAATACAATAAACAAGTCAAAACTGAAGAACAAAATTCAACTGAAGTTTTTCTTTTTATAGTATAGTAACAGAAAATTTAACATCTTTTAACAATAGATTGAAAAGCTCAAATAATCATAAAGCATTTTCTTTTACACAAACTTAATAAAGAAATCAATCATTTCGTTGTGCATGAGAGAGACATCTGTTGTATTGAAGTATCATCCTTTTGATGTCCAGCCATACACAAGAAAACCTTGACAGTTAACTTTTCAAATATTTCCCAAATTTATTATTCACAAACAAACAAAATTAATAATAATTAATGAAATTTCTTTAGATATATTTTATGAATAACAATAATAAATCTGAATCAACAACTGTGTATTTAGGTAATACACGTACAGTATCAAACGAATATTTATTTGAATATTGTTCAAAATTTGGTCTTGTTCTTGATTGTTCACGTCGTTTATTATTTCCAGAACAAGTTCCTCTAGTTGATTTCACATTTGTTCGTTTTTTAAATGCTCAATCATCATTAAAATTTCTTTCCACATCATCTCATATTCTTAATAATGGAATTCATCTTGAAGTAAGACCATTTAGTGATATTCTTCATACAGCTGTTCCTTTACATGTTGATCGAAAAATTTGTATAAAAAATTTTCCAAGTCATATATCACTTAGTGATATAAAAAAATATTTACGTACATTTGGTACAATAAAACAAGCAAATTCAGAAATAAATGATAATGAAGAAAAATATATTTATATTGAATTTGAATCAGCTGCAACAAGAAATAAATTATTAAAAGGAAAAATAAAATATCATCGTATATGTGATCATACTTTAGATATTTTACCATTATTAAGACCAACTGATGTTGATCTTGTTAAAATGGAAGAACAAAAGTAATTTACAAATCATTTTTTTTATTTTCTCTATGAAATACTTTACATTTTGTTTTTGTTTTTTTGTTAATAGGATTTCAAATTCATCAACTTCTATGGATGATCCAAGTACATTGATTTATTTAGAATGTGAATATAATTTAAAAATTCGTGAACAATTTAGTTTAATTGATAAGGAAATATCAGAACTAATGAAACAAAAACGTGAGAACTATGAACAAATTCGAAAAATGATTCAATAAAAATCGAAATCTTTCCTTTTTTTTTTGCTCTTCAGTTGATTTGTATATTTAATTTGGTTTTCAGATTTAAAGAAAACAAAACAACAAATATGTATTCGTCATCAACATCAACTACAATTTATGTTGGAAATATTCAATCAATTAA